CAGATAAAGATTTGATTTTTTTAAAAATACAAATATAACTCTACACTAATGGAATACATACATTAATTAAAAGTCAACACATCGATCAACTGGTGGCATTTTCTTTTAAACAAAACAAAAGATAAAAGAAACACTTCTCAAGCCTCTTTTTGTATAACATATAAACTCCATAATTGTGGATAACTGCAATAGACTCCCAGGTAGAACATTTATTGTTATGTTGTTTGAAACAGTAAAAAGGGGCTAGATTGAACTGGATTTTATAGTTACAGGGTATAAGTACAGAGAGTGCGTGTGAAACACGAAAGCCCTGAGCAGGGTATTATCAGGAATGAATAACATAAAATACAAGATAAGTTAGATGTTTTAAATTGTTCTTAATTTAGCTTTGGGATGAAGGAAGCTCTATTAACTTCATTATAACTAATGATAGAATGAATTCCAAATGATCTTTCGAAGAATGGCCTGTTTTTCTTTCCATGTACTTTTATCTTCCTAAGTAAGCCACTAAAATAATCATGACACTATGCAGGGTACCTATTTGCAAAGGAAAATATTTGCTTGGAAACAGGCCACTTGGCCCAACTACTACTTGTTTACTCCATACGAGTCTCCATCTATTCTTTACTCCCTCCCATACCCTTCCATTATCCACTCCCTCATCTGAAGGTCCAGCTTCCTATTGAATGTGTCTACACTATCTGATTTAACACTCACTTCAGGCAGTGAGTTCCACAACCTTCTACGTGATGTTAAGCTCTCCGAAGCGCTGCCCCGTGTGAAGGGCACTATATAAACGCAAGTTGTTGAAGTTGTTCCTACTAAATTCTCTTTTAGATTCCCCCTAGTCCTATCTTATATTTGTGTCCCCTGGTTACAGACTCCCCAACCAGTGGAAGCAACCGATTTATGTAAATTTTATCAAACCCTTTCATAATTTTAAATACCTCTAATTAGGTTCCCGCTTAACCATCTCTTCGCTGGCGAAAAAAGGCTTAACCTATCCAATCTATCCTGATAGCAGAAACCTGCCAGCCCTGATATCATCCTATGCTGTACTCTTTCTATTGCTGTTACATCCTTCTTATATTGTGGAAACCAGAATTGGCCACACTAGTCCAGGAGTGGACTAGCCAAGGTGTTGAATGTGAACAAGACTGAGGCCCTCCTGATTGGCTCGCCTCAGCACCTCAGGATCTGGCAACATCAACCTCCATGGTCGCTCAATACAACTCACCAAACCAGTCAGGAACCTAGCTAGGGTTCTTGTTCAATCCTCAACTGTCTTTTCTTCCCCACATTCAAGCCATGACCCGCTCTGCCTTCCCTCACCGCCGTAACATCACCCGACTCCGCCACTACCTCACCCCTCAGGCCTGAAACTCTTGTTCAGGCCTTCATCGTCTCCAGGCTCGACTATGCAAACGCCCTGCTTGTCGGCCTTCCCAACCCCTCCCTCCACAGGCTGCAGATAATCCAGAACTCTGCAGCCCGTGTCCTCTCACGCACCAAACTCCGTGACCCCATCTCCCCCACTCTCACCCGACACCATTGGCTCCCTATCCTTCAGAGGATCCAGTTCAAGATCCTGGTCCTCACATACAAAGCCCTCCATGGCCTCGCCCCACCCTACCTCTGCGACCTCCTAACCCCCTACCAATCCGCCTGTTCCCTCCGCTCAGCCAGCTCTGGCCTGCTCCATGTCCCCCGACCCACCCGCCCCACCGTTGGCAGGAGAGCCTTCAGCTACTTTGCCCCCAACCTCTGGAATTCCATCCCCCAGTCACTCCCCCTCGCCCCCTCCGTAGCCTCCTTCAAGTCCCGCCTCAAGATCCTCCTCTTCGACCATGCCATCAACCACCCCCCTCCCTTCTCCCCCCTGACCCCAGCTCGGGTCTGAAAAGCCATATTCTGTCTAACGCCTTGGGACGTCCTCCCGACGTGAAAGGCGCTATACAAATGTAACCTTGTTGTTGTTGTTGTATAAATTCAACATCACTTTCTCATTTGGCCCAAGATCCCATTGAAACTGCCGCGTTTCGCCCACAAATATAGAGTATTCAGTTTACAGCATATTCTGTGAAACGCTTTGAGACGTCTAGAAGATGTGAAAAGCACTATATCAAATGCAAGGATTATTATATTATTATTATTGGCCTTTTTTATAGCCTTATTTACCTGTGGTTACTTTTAGAGATTTGTAGATCTGAATCTCTAGATCTCTTTACTCCTCTACTCCTCTTTGACAGTAGACGGTTTTCTTTATTTTTGCTGCCAAGATGAATTACTTTGCATTTTCCTACATGAAACTTCATTTGCCCTCTGTCTGCCCATTCTGCTAACCTATTATGCCTTCCTGCAATCTTTTTCAATCCCCTTCACTGTTTACCATACCCCCAATTTGGGATCATCTGCAAATTTTTATAACAGCAAGAGGATTACATCTGTATGCACCTTTCACATCGGGAGGACGTACAAAGGCGCTAATTTTTACACCACATCTCGTACACCTGAATCCAAATTATTTACATGGTGAACTGTAGCAGTCCTAACACTAATCCCTATGGATCACCGCTTCCTATTTCTTGCCAGCCTGAGAAGATACCTTTAACTCCTACCGCTTTCTTTCGGTTTCCTAACCATCTTTTAATCCATTTAGCTACCCCTCACACTATTCCACATGTCCCTATTTTAGTAATGAGCCTCTCATGTAACTTTAACAAAAGTCTTCTGGAAATCCAGATATACTACACCACTGCATTTCCTTTGTCTACTTTATCAGTTACAACTTCAAAGAATTTGATAAGGTTGGTCAAGCATAGCTTTCCTTTCGTAAATTCATGCTGTGTGCTTATATAAAATAGGCTGTATATCAAATGTAACGTCTATTACTAAGATTACATAATGCAAACATCCAATTTCTTTAAAATAAATGCAGTCATTCTGACATAATAAATTCTTGTATTCTAAAAATGATACCACAAGATCTCCTAAAAAAAACAAATCCTGGATAGTATGAATATGCTATTTGTGTTTAAAATACTATGTTAAGTTTGTGGACAATAAATTCCATACTTTTGCCTGCAAAATACAGTTATGACACTTTACAGTAAATCCTGTGAAGCATTATCCAATGCAAAGATCTTTTTTTATTATGTACTTTGCACTTTTCTTTCTGGTTTATTTAACTTTTCCTGTACCTGAACAGAGAGCTAAAATAAAATGTAAAAGAAACATAACATACGTATTATATACAATAGTTGCCAATTTATACAGATTAAAAATATTCAAGAAGGAATCTGAGGCGGAATTTGAATTTCTTCAACCACTGTATTGCCTAATTAAAAGTATTCAATATGAGACAGTTTAAGTTCTACACAAAGTCATAAAAGTTTGAATTTTGGGGGTAATTTTAAAACAAAACAAATTGCACACCAAGAAGGAAATAGCATCTCTTTTAACTTTTAATCCAATGCGACACCCATTTAAAATTTAATGTGAACTTAAATAGGTCATATCAATAATGCAGTGTTGTTAACTCTGGCATGAGACAGACTGGCCTTATCAACCAATCTAACACAACTAATTAGCAACTTACTGAGAACATGCAAAGAATGAACTGATGAATGCAATATAACATCTTCGGTATTCGGCAGAAATGAATTTGTGTTCCATCATATGCATTTGAATGGGAAATAGTAGAATAATTTTCCTCTGACATAGTTTATAAATGGTGTGTACATAGATGTAATTATGTGCTACATATCGTCTAGGCATTTAGAATACAACTGATAACAAATTAACTACTCATGAAGGAACACCCACAAAATGATTAGACTAGAAGATAATTATATGATTTGCCTGTCTCTCTGATCTTCTCATACCCCACTCCTCTGCCAGCCCCGTACACTCAGCTAACACAGGCCTGCTGCACATCCGCTGTCCTTTTTGCATCGCCATTGGTGGACAAGCCTTCAGGCATTGCCGTCAACCTCTGGAACTCTGCCTCTATCTCTCCACCTCACTTCTTTTCTATCTATCTTCAAATCCCAATTTAAAACCTATCTCTTTGATCATGTCTAAGGCCATCTCTGCCTCCCCTTCCTTCTAGCTCAGTGTCCAACTTCGCCAATGTGAAGCGCTTCAGGATGTTAGTGTATGTAAAGGGTGCTATATAAATACAAAACAAAAACAGAAGTGGCTGGAAACACTCAGCAGGTCAGGCAGCATCTATGGAGAAAGGAAAGTGAGTCAACGTTTCGGGTCCACGACCCTTCGTCAGAATTGGGGCCTGTTGTGAGGATGAGGCTTTTAAGGGCTAACAGAGAGGGCAAGGAAGACAAAGGAGAAAATGGGGTAGAGGACAGGGGATGATGAGTTAAAGAGGTGTTAATGATTCAAAACAAAGGGGGGGGAAAGCAGGAGAATAGAGGTGGTAATACTGCAGAACAAAGGGGGAGGAAAAGATTGCAACAAAATAGACGGACAAGAGAGAGAAAAGGTGTGTTTGGGACCAAGATGATACGGTAATGGTCACAGAAGAGGGGGAAGGGGAATGTGAGCTGTTATGGTCTGACATTGTTGAAATGAATATTGAGCTTGCGCTGTGACTCATTGGAACAGCGTAGGAGACCGTGGATGGTTTCCAGCATTGAGTTCCACAGTCTTACCAGCTCTCTGTTAAACCATTCAACTTAAATTCCTTATTATGTATTCAACAAATTCACCAATAAATATTAAAACCATCCAAATGAACTTCAATATGCTATTTTTGGCGGTGCTAATCCACCATAAGAATACTTACCCTCATGAGATTTCATGCCCCAATGAATCTATTTGTCTTTTTAAATGACCAGTAATAAAATTTATGTAATAAAATAAAATGGATGAAATGAAACTGGCTCGTACTCAAGGCAGTTTTGGAAAAGATTTTGATTAACAAATGGAATGTATGAATATAATAGCACAACCGAGTAGAAAATGACTGTATGAAAACTTACCAGAGGCTCTGCCATGATAACACGAATCTTTCGTTCAGCCTGAGTTGTGAAGTTAGCAAATATGCTCTTCAAGACATATTCCCCTGATTTAATATCAGGGTCAATATTGATGGGCATCATGGCTGGAGGTCCTCTGTCACCTGGTATGCTGCTTGTGGGTAGGACTGGGGGTTTAATGTACCCGTTGCCCACAGGAGAAGCTATGCAAAAAAACACGGAATAATCAATAAATTATTGTGATACATCTTCAGTTGGGCTCTTTTATAAAAAATCTTACTGTTTATTTTTCAGTTTGTTGAAGCATTTCATTACAGTATCAATCAGGAGCATTCGCTTACAAATACACAGCCACAATACTTTACAGTACATCCTGTAAAGTTCTTTGAGACATCCTCATGACATTAAAGTGGCTTTATCAAATGCAATATAATAATAATCCTTGCATTTGATATAGCGCTTTTCACGTCTTCTAGACATCCCAAAGCGCTTCACAGAATATGCTGTAAAGTGAATTGACTGTATATTTGTGGGCGGAACGCGGCAGCCAATTGCGCACAGCAATGTCCCACAAACAGTCGTAGATTGAAAATGACCAATTTATTATTGTTTTTGGTTTTGGAGGGATTATTATTAGGCTCTGTGTGGAGTAAGGAAACTTGCCCAAGGTTTCGCCCTCTGCCTGGAATTGAACTCAGGTCTCTCGCTTGCAAAGCGAGTGCTCTAACCACTGAGCTACAGGACTCCACTTTGGGTACCACTTAACTGTAAAGTACCATTATTATATAAATAAGGATTTATTTTATTTTATTTATCAAAGGCAAAACTTCTAAGATCTAGTCAATAGTCATTGGCCACTAATGATCATCTTTTGGATAATAATAATCCTTGATTATCACGTCTTCGAGATGTCTCAAAGCGCTTTAACATTAAACCAAGGTTCTATGTGCTTGTTCACATGGCACTATTCGAAAAGAGAAGGGAATTTCTCCAACTATCCTGGCCAACAATCCTCCAAATAAAATTTGTCATCACTTCATGGTTGTTTGGGAGACATTGCTATGTGCAAATCGGCTGCCTGTTTGCCTACAAATACATAGTCTCTACTCTTCATAGAAAAATCCTATGAAGCGCTTTGATACATCTTGGCAACATGATAAGGTGCTGTATCAAATTCAAATATTAAATATCAAATTCAAACATTCAAATATTTATTATTATATCAATTGCACTGACTTTAGGTGCAATCAAAATACAATAGGTCATGGAACATCTGTAACTGCCTTAGTTTTTGTTAGTTTTGAAAGCAAGCAGTAGCTCGTTCATGTATGCAAACGTTCTCCACAGAATACAGTAATCAAATAAAATATTGTATCCAAACTTGCAAATGTTCTCCATCACATTATGTCTGCCAAAGGTGCTGATACATTATATACAGAATAATATTTATATTTCAGTGAGTTATAATACTGGAAATGAATTGAGCATTTTCGATCTAAACACAAACTGAGAAACAAAAGATCCTTGATATTGTAAAACAGGCTTGCATTTGTTACAGTCCTTTGCTATTATATAAAATACTACTGTATCATCAGTGTTTATTTTCTAGTTTTAGCGTTCCTTTTAAAATTGCTAGGCAGGTTAAGAAACATCACGAAAAAGGAAGCTGAACACTTAAAAAGAAAATAAACTACAGGAGAAATCAAAATAATAATAATAATAATAATCCTTGCATTTGATATAGCGCTTTTCACGTCGGGAGGACGTCCCAAAGCGCTTCACAGAACACACTGTAAAGTGAATTGACTGTATATATTTGTGGGCGAACGTGGCAGCCAATTGCGCACAGCAATGTCCCACAAACAGTCGTGGATTGAAAATGACCAATTTATTATTTTTTTTGGTTTTGGAGGGATTATTATTAGGTGTGGAGTAAGGAAACTTGCCCAAGGTTTCGCCCTCTGCCTGGAATTGAACCCAAGTCTCTCGCTTGCAAAGCGAGTGCTCTAACCACTGAGCTACAGGACCCCACTACAGAAGAAATCAAAAGAAAACAAATACAGAAAATATTTCAAGCGAGCTTATTTTCCTAGAACAAATTGATAGCAAAAGAATTAATTGAAAAAATAGTAATGCAAAGAATGAGGATGAGGTACAAGGAATGTACGATATTTTAAGTATTCTGTTTCTGTTCATCCAGTTGAGGTCAGACCTGAGACTACAAGTTTGTGAGCCTGAATCCTGACAGGACTCTCAGCCCTTCACATTTTTGAGCTCAATAAAATAAATACTACACTATGTCTCCTCCTTAGAGTCAAGTGGGGCTAAATTAACTAAGAAGAAATAAACAATCAAAGCCAAGTAGACTCGCAGTAACCCAAAACCGACCAGCTTGGCGAGATAAAATGCTAAAATGTAGATGAGCAAGTGCTGCAAAAATTACCAGGGACTGTAAGTTTGTAACTGTAAAGTACCTTTAAATTTACCAGTATTGCACTTAGCAAAGGTACAAAAACTACGGTTACACTGTATAGATTTGTACAAAAGAAAGTTGTTCGTGCAGACTGTTAAATTTGAGTTGACCGTGCAAGTGCTTGTAAACAGTTCCATGAGCTTAAGGGATGATGGTTTAATTAGAATTAGATCATACAACATGAAAGGAGGTGGCCCTGTCGGGTGTCTGACACATGCTTAAGAGTACCCAAACCAAACGGAGGGTTCCATGTATCCCACCTACACATGGAAATTCCAGATAGATTGTTGGAATGCAATGTGCACTCTCCCTGGAGGGACGCATCCTACTTACCTAATTCCAGAAAGTAACAGGTGCAGGTTGGCAAGAGCTAGGGCTTGGGGACCCCAGGGTGTGAGTTGGGGTCCTGTTGGAATCTGACCAGCTAAAACCACATAACTTGCCATTGATAGCACTGTCTGGCAAGCTTTCCTGCTGCTTGTCCATCTAGGACAACCCTACCCAGTAGGGCTATGGCTTGCAACAATAATAACAACAACAAATTACATTGTATACGCCTTTTACATCAGGAGGCTGTGGTTAATAGGCTTGCAGGGTTAACAGTAGCTGTTTGGGATGACTTTCTGCCCCCAGTGACTGGTCTGCCCTTCCAAGTCCTGTCGATCAGTCATTCTGGCTGTGCTGTCATCAGCAGTGCCCTGGAATACTGAGGATCCACCTCGCTCAGGAACCGGACTACCGAGACCACCACAGAGGGTTCCAATATTCCATGTCACCTTATATAACATTAGTTATAAAAGGCCTCAATAAGAAATACATATTCAAATGCAAGGTTGAGTTCCAGGGCATCTAGGATGCTGTTCATAAGCTAGAGTACTGGGGGAAAAACACAAGTACAATACCTGAGAATGACTTGAACTAGATTTGATATGTAAAGTGCCTTGCTAAATATAGATGAGGACATGGTTATGAAGGTACAAGGAAATTGTAGTGTTAAGGACAAAGGGAGGAATATGATTACACTAAAAGCTTCAAACAGAGTTATGAAGGATGACCTTAAAATGCTTTTATGTTATTGCAGTAACAGAAGCAGTAAGCTCAGCTCTGGATTCAGCAGTGTAAATTATTGAAAAAATGGTTGTTAGCAGCCCCTCTGGTTTGGATTCCCTACCTCTCTCCCCTGTCTCTTTGTTTACTTTTCATAAGATCAGAAGATTACTTAGGATAAAGAAGACCATTTGGTCCATCTGATCTCATTCTTCCAGAACACCCACCCTAACGTGCTCCATTCACAGCATTAAGTAGTCGTTAACTGAGTTGTGTGTCCTGGCCTCAGTCACCCTTCCTGGAAACCTATCATAATAATAATAATAATAATCCTTGCATTTGATATAGCGCTTTTCATGTCTTTTAGACGTCTAAAAGTGCTTCACAGAATACGCTATAAAGTGAATTGACTGTATATTTGCGGGTGAAACGCGGCAGCCAATTGCGCACAGCAGTGTCCCACAAACAGTCGTGGATTGAAAATGACCAATTTATTATTGTTTATTAGGCATGTGGAGTAAGGAAACTTGCCCAAGGTCTTGCCCTGCCGGGAATCAAACCCAGGTCTCTCGCTTGCAAGGCAAGTGCTCTAACCACTGAGCTACAGGACTCCAGGACTTTATTCTGGGGTCATAAACCATGAAACTTCTTTAATTTTCCCCTTTAATTTTTAGAATATCAGTTTATTTATTTGTACCTTTAAATGTAATGTGCCCTGGTGTCCCATTCAAATTTATTCCAAATGTTTTTAATTAATAGAATGTTTATCTCATAGTTATTTGTGGCCACAGCTACCACATTCACTTTAAAGCAGCTAATTTAATTAAATGTTTGAGATATTCTTATTGAGATATTACTCTATATTAAATACAAGTACTATTTATTTAGTGTTAATTTACAAAGCTAGCAAAAGTACTGACATTATTGGCAACCAAATCTTGGCTCAAAGTAAATAATTGACACAAGATGGAGTTTCGAGGGTTAGAGTGTTCTGCATGTCAGATCTATTGAGTTAGAAGAGTTATTGTGTAAGAGATGATACAGCAGCTATTGAAAAAGATCGATATAACAGAAGAAAATAATAAGGGCAACAAATCAATAATTATAATTATTAGTGACAGCTCAAAATAACAGTAAAGGTTTCAGGCGCAAACTTCCCATTCTTTTGGAGGAAGTTGGATGGTCTATCCAGCCGATTCAACCTCTCAAAAGATTCCTATGATACATCCATTTCATCATATTATCACACTGAATAATTTTAATTTTGAGGAATTTGTTCTAGTTATTTTTGAAACTCCAGCAAACATAAAATATTACTGCATTTAGCATTTGCTTTTGTTGTCCTTATATTGAACTTTCACATTGGCTTGAATTGTCTTCATGACAGAAAATTTGCATCTAATTTTTTCAAATCTTTAATAATTTTAAGAACCTCTATCACGTCTCTTTTCAAGTAAAGAAATCCAAGATCATTCCTCATAAATCTGTCACAAGAGGTTATTGAAGAGCTTGGATGAAGAAAGCTTTGTTTTATTGGATCATTCTTATCCTTCTAGAATACACACTGTATCATCTTGCCATTATAGCATCAAGCTGTGTTTTAAATGAGTTCGGTATAACCATGCTTAAGAGTGTCCAAGCCAGAATGAGAGTTTGACATACCTATGCCACCTATGCATAAAA